TTTAAATGTTCAAGTCACTACAGAAATTATCTAAGGAGGGTTAAGTCATCTCAGCTCTAGTCTTGTCAGCGAACAAAACTTTAGCTATGTAAAACACAATGCAATAAACACGCAGATTTCGGATATAGTATGCCGTTCCCTTTCATCATTTCATTCCTGCATATTTGACCTTTTCCCTGTATATTTACAAATTTATTTAAACTTAAATTAAAATACTATTAACAACAATAAAATTAAACATGTACCATATACTTTAAGTTATGAATTAGCTTAAAAGCAATGAAAATAATTTTGAAATGCTAGTTTTAAATTAATAATTAGTTGGTTTTCTTACATTCGATTTATTATAGAAAGTTAGACAAAATAACTAAGGAATAAAACTAAATGTTTTTTTCACAAACCTAACCACTCATCTGTGACAGAGTAGGACAGCAAATTAGACATAGAGTTGAAAGATACGTTAATACAAAAGTGGTTGTACTGGGTTTCTACTACATTAAGCAGTAACTAAGATTCAAAGCCTTCCCAGTAGCTAAGATTAGCTTAAAAGCAATGAAAATAATTTTGAAATGCTAGTTTTAAATTAAGAATTAGTTGGTTTTCTTACATTCGATTTATTATAGAAAGTTAGACAAAATAACTAAGGAATAAAGCTAAATGTTTTTTCACAAACCTAACCACTCATCTGTGACAGAGTAGGACAGCAAATTAGACATAGAGTTGAAAGATACGTTAATACAAAAGTGGTTGTACTGGGTTTCTACTACATTAAGCAGTAACTAAGATTCAAAGCCTTCCCAGTAGCTAAGATTAGCTTAAAAGCAATGAAAATAATTTTGAAATGCTAGTTTTAAATTAAGAATTAGTTGGTTTTCTTACATTCGATTTATTATAGAAAGTTAGATAAAATAACTAAGGAATAAAACTAAATGTTTTTTCACAAACCTAACCACTCATCTGTGACAGAGTAGGACAGCAAATTAGACATAGAGTTGAAAGATACGTTAATACAAAAGTGGTTGTACTGGGTTTCTACTACATTAAGCAGTAACTAAGATTCAAAGCCTTCCCAGTAGCTAAGATTAGCTTAAAAGCAATGAAAATAATTTTGAAATGCTAGTTTTAAATTAAGAATTATTGTTTTTTTCTTACATTCGATTTATTATAGAAAGTTAGACAAAATAACTAAGGAATAAAAACTAAATTTTTTTTCACAAACCTAACCACTCATCTGTGACAGAGTAGGACAGCAAATTAGACATAGAGTTAAAAGATACGTTAATACAAAAGTGGTTGTACTGGGTTTCTACTACATTAAGCAGTAACTAAGATTCAAAGCCTTCCCAGTAACTAAGATTAGCCCACAAAAAGCCTGGTTATGAAAATACATGAAGTGGATTCTTCAACAGGAGAACATCATATTGAGTAAAGTTGAAAGCAAGACTCGAGCAACTTTACATACCCCGGCTTAGTACTGTTGTGGCTTATATAAATTGTTTGGCATAATCAGGGCAATTCCAAGAATTTTATCCTGGCAAGGCTGCATCTATATGCGCAAGACTGCGTCTATCGTCAACAAGCTCCTTGAGCACCATATAAGTAATAGTACGACTTTTTCCAACTCCCTCCAAGTTTTGAGGGAGAATCCTCGGAGTACGGATATGGACGTTTCCCATGTCTCTGCCACCTACCATCAAACCACTCGAGGGAACTTTTGTCTCGCCATGTATTTTGAATGCCTCCAACGCTTTACATTCGCTATACATTTATATGCCGCCCAAATGGGATAGTTGTTAGCGACTCTGACTACCATGTCGAAGTGTTCGGGTTTGAATCCGATGAAGATAGGGATGTATGTAAATATATAGTGTCCTTGCGGCATGATGGCACTCTAAATATATGATGAGCTGAAAGTCCTCTCCTATGGAATTGTGGTAGAGAAAGAAGTGTGGAAGTCTCTCGGATCCACTCTCCTGGAATGCTCTTCCTCAAAATTAGACTGAAACTGGGCTAAATCATTCTGTCACCTATATTTTGCCTAAAGCTCTTCCCAACGACAGCGTGATCTTGTACTCTTTATCCCGATAAATTTTGTGGCCTTGTTCTGATGTCAGGCAAGAGGGATTAATAACAACAGCAATATATTTATAAACATCCAAAAAATGTTTCTTCCAGGATTCGAATTCGAATCCAACGGACGATGCAGAAGCCAGGAGCACTAATCACTATACTGATCAGGGCGATTTGCGTTGCTGTAAATTTATAAGAATAGATAACCGAGGAGGTGCAGTTGAAACTGCTTCAGAATATAGTTAGTAGTGCATTTATGTGACAGATATTGTTGTTCCTTGATTCTTGTATCACCTACTAGAGGAATTGTGTGTTTCTATACAAACCAAGAAACACTCAGATATTTTTTCAGTTTAGCCAGTTACAGTTATTTTTCTTGAATTGTATTGTTTTAATTTTTAAGTTGCTACAAAAGGGTAGCTTTCAATAAGTGGTAAATTTTCATAGTACTTGAAGAGCGATTGACACGCTATCAGCTGCCTTAGTCTCAGCTAGCTGAAGAATTACGAGATAATTTTGTGCTTACGTTGTAGTTGAGTTACACAACTTGTACTAATTAATATTATATGTAAGGAACCCAAGTGAAATTACAGATACTTAGAAGATATTTAGGCTACCATATGAACTTATTTTCTGTGTATTGAGTAACCAGGTATCAAATATAATCTGATAGCTATCATGCTTATCATACAAATTAAAAAGTTGAAACCGAGAAAAATTATCAATACATGAAAGTAAAAAAGGATCGACAATAATCGCATTTATTGTAATAATGCAACCAGTATAAGTAAAATTAGTAATAATGAAAATGACAGTTCCACAAGTCCATTTTAATATTTCTCAACACATGGAAATATTTCTTGAGAGCTGCGGTCATGCTACTTATATATCTGCCGCAAAAAAGATTGTACGACTGCAGAAGGAAATAAGATAATACCTCTCTCTCCCGACACAAGTTATAACTCAAAGGTATACTTAAATCTCACAGGAGAGTTGACAGAGAACTTTTTAATCCCCCCCAACAAAAAATTTTGTTCTTGTAAGCTACATTATCACCAAGATTGAATGTATTAACTGATAATACAGTGTAATTGATGGTTAAACTTTTCATCAATCAGAACGCCATTAATTTTGTTGCATGCCTAGGTTCTCGTAATGGTTTGAATGCACGCGGAACAGATAACAGCTTGATAAATTTATTTACTCGAAAGAAACGCTTTACACTTCTAGAAAATTCCAAGAAAGTACTAGTACAGCTCTTCTCTATATGATAAAGCATAACCAGTTTTACTACTAAGAACATTAAACAGGACGCAATGCAAACCGCATGTAAAGAGTTAAGCTCACAAGGAGATCTAATTCTGAAATAAAAACTGAGAATTGATGCTCTCTCTAGGCATATATAGTTTTCTCCCTAGCCTCCGAAAAATCTCTAGTATCTTCCCTTTCTCGAAATTGCTGAAAGAAATATACGGTTAGAGTTACACATAAGAGCCGGTTACAGTTAGAATAACATAAATGCATCAGTTACAGTTATTTAATCCCAGTATCAATTGCAGTTATACAGGGATCGGACCAAAATGTCTTTGACGACCAAAATATGTTGGACCAAAATGTCTTTTGACATTTGGCGACAAAAATTAGTCTCCAAAACCTTTTCCATCTTGGCGATATCTCACCATTTTAACTAGATAGCCATTTACCAGACTTACCCCTGTCATGCTTTATTTTTCAGCATAACTTCATGTTACATTCATACAGGAGATACTATAATTTCCCTAAAATTTCACCTCCACAAACGTTTTTGTTTTTCTAAGCTACATTATCAGCATGAAAAAAATGTATTAACTGATAATACAGTCCATTTGAAGAGTAAACTTTTTGTGAATCGTAAAGCCATTAATATTGTGAATGATAAAAATATGTTAATAACAATTAAATACATCTTGTCGGCTTTCCTCGCTATAGATTCAGGGTGATATTTAATGGTCAAAACACAGTTAAGAACGAGTTTTTCATGTCGTGTAGAAATTAAAGTGTTATACCATAGTTTGTTGCTTTTAAAGAAAGACCTGTTCTAAAGTATAAACCCCGCTATCATTATATTTTCAGTGTTAGAGCGGGTGCAATCTGATTATAAATAGCAGAACATAGTGGGTTGTAATCAACAATTCAATCAACAATTAAGTAATCAACAATTATCATGTAACCAAATAAACTCGTGCGGTTTTCGTCAGTCATCAAAAACGGCCCACCAAATTCTTAAACACTCATTTCATTTTTCGGAATAATACCCATTGGCTTTAGTTACATTTGCTCAGCGAGACACAAGCTTATAAATGCCCTTTTTGAAAAATTCCTTTTTTCTCTACTCCAAAAATTGTGATACAGCTTTTGTGATGTAATCGCGTTTTCGGAACTCCTGTTACAGCAGGTGGTTATCCATGGCCAGAAATGGGTAATGGTCAGATGAGGCGATGTTCGGGGAATAAGGTGGCTGAGACTAAACTTCCCAGCCCAGTGTTTTGATCACCTCTTTGGTCGCTTTTGCCGTATGAGATATGTTATTATCGGGGAGGAAGAGATTCCTTTTCTTTTGACCAGTGATGGCTGCTTCTGGTACAGTACAAATGAAACTCTTTGCGATTTCTCAATTGAAGAGTAGACGCCGGCTGTTATGGTTTATAGGTTTTTCTAAATATTCATAGAGGAATATGCCATCGTTGGTACACCAAACACACAGCATTACTTTCTTTTAAAGAATGTCCTGTTTAGCGGCTAATGAAACCGAACCAGAAGTCGGCCAGTTATGTTTCCTCCTGCAGTTATCATACATAATTTATTTTTTGTAGCATGTCAGGAAGGAAGCTTTATTTTGGACCGACAGCAAAGACAATGTTCAACCGTTGGAGCTTGTTCTTCTCGGAACATCAACAACTTCCTTCCTTAGTTTTTAAGTCAAGGTTATGAAGATTTGATCGTATGGTTTCATCAGATACTTCATCCCCGGGTGCAAGCTCCTGGCACGTTTGATAAGGTTTCTGCTTGATTTGTTTCTTCAGCTGGACTTTGCATTGGGTGGATGGACGACTAATACGAGGCTTGTCTTCAAGGCTCTCCTTTCCTGAAAAAAATCGGCTGAACCACTTCTGAGCAGTCCGTTCACTCAGTGATATCTCTCTAAGCACAGAGCATATTCTTTTTAAGGCCTCTGCAGCTTTGTTTCCTAATTTGTACATGTAAAGCAAAATACATCTCAAAATCTCTTTTCCCAAGGACATTGTCTTTAAAGATTGCGCTTCCTACTAAAACCAATATCGAAATGTACGATTCAGTGAACAACTCTCTATTGAACAAAGCTTGAAAGGAATGTAAACATATCATGTCGTCAGGATCAGTTTGATCACATTAATGTGCCAAATTTAACTGTTCTCGAAAACCGCACGAACTTTTTTGTTTACCTGGTATATATTTTATCGCAGTGCTAAAGGATTTTCTTCCCAGACAGAAACTCCACGAATTACTACAAGCTCTGCACCTGTTAGGTGCCATGTCTTTAAAGACTTTGTGAAGATACTGCGGTTCCTAACACAGTATTAGCAAGCATACGAAACTTTAATCTTCTTAAGTATGGCGGGCAAACAAGTCTATGATTCCGAAAAATTACCAATAATAAATGATGCTTATTTTTATAGTAGTTTTATCTATTTGTTATTTAGTTCTATAATTAAAGGCAAAAAGTAGATCGTGAAAAATCTTTGAGCAAATATTTTAGCCGTTGTAAAGTTATATGAGACTGCCATATGTATTTTAACAGATCCGAAGTTGCAACTTTTTGTTCATATTACGATCTCTTAAAATGTTATAAGATTTTAAACAATAAAAGATTTCTTTGGCATTTTATGCCACACTATTTATTCGTTCAAATAATCTAAGAAATCCAAGATACAATTTCATGATTATCCCTTTAGTGAAAGAAGAAAGCAAAAGAATATGGAAGCGAAAGAGATGTCGCAGATAGCAAGTGTCAGGAATTATTTCCCCACCAAATTCTTCAGTTATGAATCCATTTCGATGATGACTCTCCGTAATGGGAATAGGGAAAATAATCGGATAAGGCAAAATGACAAATGAGAAGGAGATATCCGCGCTCTGTATGACGACACTTCACCGCGTGATTAACTCGCGGAAGCCAATGTCTTCTTTTGATTCAATTACAAAAGGCGCTTTCTTTCGCGGATGGAAATTGATGACATTTCCCAAACCGATGAATAAATGCGAGAAGCTTTCTAATTTTGTGATTAATTCTCGGCTTCAACTCTCTCTCTTTCAGCCATTATGTTTGTCAAACCATAATGGAAACATTGGACATTATGCTTGAAAATACACAATTGGAAACCATCGCAGCGTGGCAATGAGTTTCTTGGATAAATAGGTATGAAAAAGTAATTGTATTCTCTGGCTGCGGAATTGAAACACTGATGGTAAGCAAATACTCCTTTGATCAATACACACTTGCAACTATACTTTTCCAGAAAATTCGGCTCTCTGTGAACAGCAACTCGTCTAATCTTTTTAAATTTTCAATAAATACTGCTGTTATTTGTATTTTGAGGTTATAAAACTGTAGCAATAATAATGAATTATCATAAATTATTAGTATTTTCTAAATATTGTTCTAGCAATAAATATGCATATATAAAAGACATAATCGAAGCCTTTTATTTAATTTGAAATTCATATTTCGATGTATTATTACAAGCAAAAAATGTTGCATATCATAGTTTATGTTTAACAGTAAAATGAAGCTCCAAATGAAACGTCTCTTCTACGATACAGCTGTAGGAAAGTTAATTCCGTTCTGAAGTTTGCCAAGAAATTTCGTTTGTTTGATAAAAATTTTATATTTGCTTTGAAATTGCAGAGCTGAAAATTAATTTTATTTATCTATATAACTCAATACAGCTTTCTTAATTATTTTTCATTGCTAACTAAAAATATTTTCTTCAAAATTTAAGCTTCAAGGTAAGCTGTAATGCATAAAAAATTTATAATTTTCAATAAAAATAGGGAAATATTTGCAAACATTAAAAGAACATTAAAACTGAAATTTTTCCTTGAAATAGGACCGTTATAGCGGGTGAACAAACCAATTTAAAGCTGAAATACAACGTTTTTGTACGAGATAAAGAGGCTACCATCCTTAGAGTTTACCCTACTCACTACACTGCCACACGTCGTCGGGCAGAGAGATTAATGTGGAGTAATTAACATAGAATGTTAATACGGAGTTAATATAGAATGCCGCAAATGAACTTTCGAAGCATAGATTTGGATGTGAATTTATTAGAATATTGCAAAGTATACAAGGATTATCTGTCTACGTAGAGGTGCGAACTTTTGTTGAAGTACTTTCTGAAGATATTGACTCGTACACACATGAAGGAAACCATGAAATTCCCCATGCATCCATCCTCTTTCGCTGGATTTTGAACTTGTGTCAAACTCCCAGTATTCAGCTGACTTATCTGCTCTCCCGTTCAAAGGTGTTTTGAAATAAAAGTCTCCTGTATGAGTTAAGGTAGTTGTTGATTTAGGCTGATAGAGGGGTACGAGTACATTTAAAAGCCTAGAAAACAATCTATCTCTCTGGTCATCAGAGTGCAGTTTAAACGGGTACAGATGGTAATCCTCTAATATGCCTACTTACCTATGAAGCAAAGAGTCATCTGATGCATTTGTATTGTCTCTATTACTGGTGAATGATACAAGAAGCTTCTGCCAGATCATATTTGCTCAATTTTCGCCTGTAGGGCACTATTTAGGAGACATGCCTACAAGAAGATGACCGACTCTTTGTGTAAGGGTGTGAGAGTGCCTTTCTGGCACCCAAGGACATCTTTTCATTTAATCCTAATGCACATATGGGGGATGACATTCAGAGAGATACGCATGAGTAGAATCTGCTCCGGCTAATTTTTGTGCATGCAAGGAGTCTGTGCAGCAGACTTGAATAGGAATAGCTCTCCAACTGCTCGTGAAGTCCATGCCACGTTGCATCGTCGCGATCATCACAGCTAGTGATGCACTAGGCAGATATCTCTAATTCAATTTTCATCAATGAATTTCTCATTGCTAAGAAAGCATTCTGAAAACCTTAGATTACAGTCTAATATCTATGGTAAATACAATTGTGTTGTCAACTAACAAGTTTAAAACTTTGATAAGAGATTTTAAATTTAGAAACCTCCACATTTGTTTCTGCATTTTCTTTTTGAATGTGAAATGAACGTCTATATAGCAGTGAAAGGAAGGATACATTAGAAAGCTGATCGTAATCTCAGTTATTTCCAGATAAATTACTTAAAATTACTGGTTTCTTTCTTTTAGACTGCTGAAGCAAAATATTGCATTGCATATATATCAGCTTGCAGTTTTGTACATGTGTTATTACAAAATAAATACCCAACCTTACATGTTAAGACGGTAATGAACGTTTCATTTTTTATAATGAATAATTATGAGCAAACATTTATATATTTCGGTTCGAGGATCTTTTTTCTTCCGTATTCCACGAATATTCGATAGCTTTTCAAGTCGTTTAATATTTCACAAAATGAAATGGAGAAATTAAGCGCCCTATAAGAAATCGTTTAATTTAAACGTTTAGTCCGAATTTAAGAAAATTTACTATAATTTTTAAATTGACTTTTATTAATTACTTTTATCAAACCTTATTAATTACTTTAGGAGTGTTCAACCAATATTTATCAGCTTATTCAAGATTCATGTATCATTTTTTTTTTCAGATTTAAGTTGCAGTTCTCCGTCAAAAGCGTTAATTTCTTCCTCACTGTTAGTCAGAATCGAAGTCTGAAATTATTGAATATCGAAACCTTTACTTTTTTCTTACTTGAATATCTCCCAAGTCGCTCTTATTCCGATGATAAAATGAAATATTACCAGACTGACGTAAATATCAAATACTTAATGAATCAGTGAAACACGAACAACCCCAGCTGACAAATTCACACGATCCTTATATGCTGGAAGAAAAAAATTATAACACAGAATAGTAATGAAAAAAAAAATATTTTGAAGTTATTAAATCTATGTTTTTTTCCATCCCCTCGCACTCCTTTATCGATAAAAGACGCACATCATTGCGATTTAAATTCCATCCTTCTCCTCCCCTATTTCTCAAGGTCTTGGGTATTTCTTCGATCTGTTAGCTCAGGTGGAGGTTGGAGCTTTATCTGCTTTTAGCCATGCAAGTCGGTTTTTTCTCTACTCTCTTTTAAACATTGCATCTACATATAGAATGGGAAGGGAGATATTTTTAGAAGAATGGTGCTTAGTATCATACAAAACCATACGTTATTCATTCTTATAACCCAGAAATTTGTCAGTTAATCTGGGAAAAGACAGAGCTAAGAAAAAGGAGAAAGGGGCTGAAGGGGGGCTAATGCTTCCAGGTTTTAACAAATCCCTCACATGGAGCACGGCAATCAATAGTGGAGTTATCAGGCATTGGGACTACTTCCCTCCGCCTGTTCTGCTTTAAGTCATTAATCATTCCTCCGCCGGGAAGTGCGTTTCCCCTTGCCATTTTTTTTTATTTCCATCAGACAAGATGGCCGAAGTGAACTGTGATAGGTGTGCATTCGCTTTCTTCTTAACAGAGCACTGGTCCCAACTTAATTGGACACAGTCAAAGGAAATTAAAGCAGTATCAGATAATTAGTATTGTCTATTCATCGTGAAGATGTTGGCCTGATCTTAAAGGGGAAGGTTTTTTTATTCCTGGATTTGTTTCAACTCTACCATTGGTTCCGAATTAGGGTTAGAAAAATGTTTCCAATTAAATGCAGTGCTGAACATACAATTAGGTCTTTAATTTGAGATTTCTATTAGTCCGAAGGATTTTCTTGTGAAATAAGATTTCAAGGCACTTTACCCTGATTTCAGAGAAAGGGAAATAACTATAATATATATTTATAAAGGCGATCAGGTAAAGGTATGCATACCAGTTAAAATTATTTACATATTTAATACAGGAAACTACTGTCATCATAAGTTTCACTTTAACGTTAAATTTTTATTACAACTTTTGCCGCATAAATTTTTACTTTGATGCAAAATATTACTTTTCTGAAACAGAAAATGGTTTGTGTTTTACTAGATATAAAAAAATATTCAACAGAGTGAAATCAAGATTCTTCAAATTCGATTACTAATCTAAAAATAATAACAACAGTAAGGAATTCTAAGTAAAAAAATC